TTATATTCACGGGGGGGGCTGGGTTATCGGTGATCGTCGTATCCCGCCACTTCCTTGTGTTTATCAAGTTGCCTCATTGGGTTGGGTTGTGTGCGTTATCGACTATCGGTTGTCACCTGGTGTAGCTTTCCCTACACATCTGATCGACTCAAAACGTGCTATAGCTTATCTACGCCGTAATGCACGAGCTGTGCTCGACGCCGACCCAAACTTTATCGCTGTAGGTGGTGAGTCAGCTGGCGGACATCTGGCTAGCTTATTGGGTCTTACTGCCGATGATAAATCCTTTCAGCCCGGTTTCGAAAACGTTGACACAAGCGTACGCGCAATTGTCGATAATTACGGTGTCCACGATTTCACAGATCGACATGGTATCTACCACTCTCGTGACAAAACTCATAAGTTTATCCATTACCTTGAGTTTTTAGTAATGCAGAAGAAGCTTAAAGACAACAGCGAGGACTTTGAGCGTGCATCACCCATTGCATACTTGGAAAACGACCGTGCAGCACGTCGCCGTTGTATTATTCCACCCTTTCTGGTCACGCATGGCACTCACGACAACATTATATCTATCGAAGACTCGCGTCTATTTTTCGACCGTTTAAAATGCTTTCGTCAGAATTTACCTCAAAATATTGCGTCGTATCAGGACAAGCAGCTCGGAGGTGTGCGTGACATTTTCATTGAGGTACCTTACGCCAGCCACATGTTCAATTTCTTGCTGTCCCCACGAGCGTTGGCTCACGGAGATGCTGTATGTGCCTTCCTCGACAACGTGTACTTGAAAACTAAAGACGTACCGCTTGAAGCAAGAATTATACCAGAAGCTATCAGACGAACCAGTGATGAGTTGTCAAAACTATAAATTACAGGAGCAACATCAACCACATTCAGCTTTGACGATTATAGAAAAATTGTAAAGTTTGTTACAAAAAGCTACTGCCATTCTTTAAGAGCACATGCTCGCCTTTAGAAAGTTGAAAGTCACATTTTTGCGCAATAATTTTGAAGTATTCAATTGAAAATATTGTATGAGATTGATTTTTTGGTCTAGCCAGCTCTAAAGTGCAACATCTTCTTGTATCACACGACCGCTCACCAATCTCTTTGGACAGAGTGTTAAATGGTGTAGAGATGCAAAAATAGTCTTTATGGTGTAAGAAACGTGTATGGTGACCTATTTTGGGCCCTTGTTTTTTTCGGGTCGGTCAATTCACGTCGTCAGTAACGCTGCAGCCTTCGCGAAGAAAGAAACACGTATGGCGACCCAATTTTAGGCCCTTATCTTCTTGGGTAGGTCAATTCACGTGGTAAATAAGGTCGTGACTTTAAGCTTCGCTTCTTGTCGATCTGACCAACTTAAAGATATATAGAGAAGGGCTTTGTCTTGAAAACAGTGGATGAAATTTGCCCTATCGCTCGGTCTTCAGACGCAGTAAGTTCTAAAGTAAGTGCCCAGCCGTCGGCCAAGAAAAGTAGCGTAGCGTCGGCTTCGTCGGG